GTGGGGGCTTAAAAATGCAACTGCTGCCACAGCTGTCACACAATGCAACAGGAAGGGCTAAAAGGCAAAACGAACCTGGTGATGCTATCTAACACCACTGCTCTTCTATGAGCACCTGGAAATCAGCAACAGGCTGGAACCCTGACCAAATACAGCAAATTTTCTGAAAGTCTCCTTTTCAACAGTATCTCTAGAAAGCGCTCTTTCCACAGCTTTATTCAAAGTGTCTGATCCGTGCTTCCTTTATATGGAATACAGCCTAACAGATTTAACCCATGAATGTAACTTATTTGGAGCCTATCAAAAGAAGACAAGTGATTTGCAATATTTTTAATAGATACTTTCTCCAAGTTTTGTGGTGTAAATTTGTGTTTTGTATAGAATAATAAAAGAATGCATTATCATAATGAATACAGGATTGTGTTCGTGACATCATCCAGACAAAAAAAGGTTACCAATCTGTAAAACCTCCCTCTTCCCATTGTCAACTGTAAGCGGGGGAAAAAACTGTGAAGTGGTCCTTGACCTGCAGTGAACCAGTGTACAACAGAGCAGCTGCTCTGAGCAATGTTCTAGACAAGCGCTGTCTGCAGTCATGTGTGACTGGACTCTGTGACTGACAGTCCCTTGCAGTCCTATTTCTACAGGAAAATTAGGGGAAGAGAGCACAGGACAATAGACTAAGGCATTGTCTCCAACCTATGAGCATGGTAATTACTTTGTGTGCCATAAAAATTTTATACTTCGTGATCTTGAAGCTATAATAAGAGTAAGGAAGTGTTTATTTAACAAATAGAATGGCATCATTCCTTAATTCACTTCCAGAACATTTAATTAGCTTAAATACTTAAACACAAAAAAGTGTTTGGAGTCCCACTTGTTGGACCAATGCTTTGAAATCGCTATCCACTTTTATTCAGCAAAGTTAAGTTTTTCCTTTTCTCTTTTATTGCATGTTTTATTATTATTATAACAAGATTTTAATGTAAATACTTTTTTCACATTAAAAGATTCAGCCATTTACTAACACCTAGTGGTTCAGTTTTTCTCAACAATTTGCCAAACACTATTTTTGTAAATACACGTGGAGGTCTGCAGCTTTGTATGAAGCATAGTGTGTGCTTATAGCTCCATATACAAAACGAATAGTCTAAATACACACCTCCACTTTCTTTCTCAAGACCATACCTTGTCAACCATGAGGAAGTTTTCTATTTTTTCTCCATCATTACAAGCAACGTCTCCAACTTCTCTAACAGCTTCAGGTAAAAGCTCCTTCACTTCCTGGGCTATTATTCCTATTCACAAGATAACAGAAATGCAAGTCAGGAAATACAGTGGCATACGATAAACCATGGTTGTGCGCTTTGAGTTGCCCACCCTAAAAGCTGCAGGTGGGGTCAAACATGATCGAGAATTTCCATGTGGTAGGAAAATCCAGGATTTAACTTCTTTTTTTTTCTTTCATTCCACAGAAGACAAACAGAAAGCCTTAGAATTCCCATTTCTCTGCAATAAGAGCAAAATTGTTTGTGATCACGTACTTCACTCTCATTAAACCACTGGAAAAATAAGCTCCTATATTTAAAAATTGAAACAGAAGTTGGAAAATTACCCAAAACACTCAATTTTGTCATTTTCATATCACAAGAGAAACATAAAGTGTGCAGTGGTAATATCCTAAGAAACGAGAATGAAATAGCAGGATGTTAAAAGGCACAACAGCACAATGAACAACAGTGGAAGTTAATGAAAAATGGGAACAGAGCTAACTGAATACCTGTTTCATGGGTATTTTTTATTCCCATAACAGATGCAAATTCAGGCTTGTAGTCATACTCCACCAGCCTCATTTGTGTTATTCTTTTCAACTGCTCATTCGTATCGACCTAGTTGGACAAATACCAAATTGAAACACGAAGAGTGTCATGGCATCTAGGACTCCACTGAGATAGCAACAAGCCCAGCATGGCCACTTGGCCAATCTTCAAGTCAAAAAATATGGACAATCTTTCCATTCCCCATTAGCAGAGTGCTATTCATATTTGCGTTGCCAGTTACCCTTCAGTCTGATAACTCTCATTTACACAGATATCCCCAGCTTCTATGGTTAGCCTTTTCCAAAGCCCATAGGTGATGGTTCTACAGAGAACAGCAGTACACCCGATTTCTTTAGACCATCACACCCATGATAAAGAAGCTGCTTCATGTGTAAGAACAAAGATCCACACGTGTGCTGTGGTGCAAACATAAATGTCCTAAATACTTCACAGCCCTCACCTCCCGGATATTCTGTTTTGCTCGGCTGTCAGATGGATGCATGACTCTGCCCATAACTTTTGCATTTCCACAGACAACCAGTGCTTCGTCTGGTGCATCTGTGTTAATTCCTACTCGACCATGATAGACTGTCGTCTCTGGAACATGTCCTCGCTGCCACAGTCCATCACTGTCATTCTCAAACTGCCCTGGGTTAGATGCCTGGAAGAAAAATTATGTTTAAAGGTATACTACAGCATAGATGTACTATTGCTTATTCCATTAGAAATTCAGGAAAAATGAAATGCAAAAGCTTTAATATTTAAATTGTATTCAAGAGCTTTTCTAACACACCAACAGAAAAAAACAGAGTGGAGTCACTTCTAAGTGTTTCTGCTCACACAGCATTGATCTCGTTGCTTTTTCCCTTGAATTTTTCTTTATTACCACCTTAGGCTACATTACCAATGTCCAAAGCTTTCCAAATTTTAACCTTGACATTATGCCACATAACCATTCTTTATTTACCACCAAATTTCATCTGAAGCTGGAAATCAGAAAAGAGGAAACAAGGCAGAGAATAAAAGTTTGGGGTTTTTTTTTCTTATATGCTTTGACCATATCAGTTTCTTTCCTTTGCATGCTATTTCACAAACCTCTACAACACATATTGAAAGCCTGTGCTGAATAGATCAGAGGTGACCTTGGCTTGCATTCACAGGTCCTGTTCTCCTAAAGTAGATTCTCCAAACCATAAATGGCATGTATTGTAGGCTTCTAGAACGAACTCTTGAAAACAAGTGTTTAATAGTAAACAATTTGTGGAAAGAATTCATTTTGCTCCCTGTTTACACAATACCTAATAGAGTAGAGCCTTGCCCCACAATATAAATATTACAACAAGGAGCAGGCGAGGAAGCAGGAAGAGGCAGTGAGACTGCCCCCACCCCACCCATTATTTTCTTTTTTTTTTTTTTACAATCATCAAAACATCTGCTGGGGAGGCATAACCATGGAGGAGGTTAGGTTTTGTAGAGCTGAGGTTTACTTTTCAGGCCCATTCTATTTCCTGCAACCATTTTGCAGCAATGTCACACAGACAACCACCTCAGCACAACTGAAGGAATGGAAAACTGTGGTGCAGGGGGAGGAAAGGCATCCAAACTACTCCCCAGGGCTGTAGCTTGATGTACACTTCTGGCGACAGAACCAGCGTAAGCAGCCCACCCCCATCACCCATCTCCACCTGCCAGCCCTCAGTTCTGGTGATACCCCAACATAGACAACGATGGAGGAACCAAACTGACTTAAAATTAACCAAGCACAAAATTTTTAACACAGACCAGTCCCCCTTCCTGTTTATTGCCGCGGCCTGGAAAAAGAGTTGCACCAGCATGGCTGAGGAGGAGCAGGAGAACAGGAACAAGAAGCCTGATAGGAACAGAAATGAGTCAAGCTTTGTTCATTCAGTGCTGCCTCAAAATGAAGTATCCAACAAACTATGGCCCAGGAAATACTTGTCTCTTTGTGGGCATTTCCACAATAAAACACACACAAAAAAATTAAGTCACTAAATCAAAACTCTTCCGACATTCTGAGGAGCTTAAGTCTTACTAATATGCCTCAAAAATGAAATGGAATAATGAGATTTTTTTCATTTATTTGTGGTTTTGGACTGGTTGAAAACACTGCACAACTAAATGAGCAGGAGCAAAATCACTTTCTAATAGTAATTTCTCCAAGTCACAGCTACCAAATGAATTTTGCTTTTATTCAGCAACTGAGACACTGAAGCATAAACTACATTCAAAACCTGTTTGCTATGTTCCAGAGACCTATGAAGTCTAAAAATAGCAGTTCCTGAAGAAGTGACCATGTGGAAAAACAAATAATTACCCCTGTTTAGTTAACCAAATGTCATTTTAACTGAGACATCACAAATAAACATATTAATAAATTCTCTAAAATCCTCTGTAATGTTTAAAATTTACTCATATTAGAAATTGCATGTCAAAGAAACACGGTCTTTCAAAGAACTCTAAAAACAATGGAGTATGTATAATTAGAAAAGGCATTTGGTTTCAACAATTAATTTTGTTAATTGTTTTTGTTTTTTTTTTACTTTGAATTCAGGCTCTAAAATTTGAGTCTGAACAAAAATGTGATCACAATAGAAAGTCTGCACTCATTTAAAGAAGCCAGGTTTTCACAAGGCTTTGCTATCTGTAACGCATGGTGCTGTGCACTTACCACCGTTTGTCAAAATTAGAGCATGATCTGATACACCTGATAACCACTACTCAGCTGGTAGTTTTGTTATGTTATGTTTGAGTGTATAAAGGGCCAGAGCACGAGCTGCTTTCTCTCACAGTGCATTTGCACATCTTTGCCACTTTAAGGTAACCAGTGGCTGGCTCACTGTACACTGTCACTGAGGCCCTGTCAGACATCTAGAAAATCTTTTTTTTTCTTTCCAGTTTTCCTGTTGACATTTTCACCACTTGAAATCACAGCCTCTTGAGCCTTCTGCTCTTTTGCCTTCTTTGTCTGGAATAGTGGCTTGGTTTGCAAAATCTCATTCCCTGGATTCCTATTAAAAAAGCTGTCTCACACACATCAAAGAAGCTCTCTTCATTGAAATTTCAAAAGAATCTAACATTTTAAATGGTAGAAAAATGTAGATTTCTAAATCTTACATAAAAATATAGATCTTATAAGGAAGGTGACAATAATCCCAAGGATGAGTCAAATGTGAAAATTCAAAGGCTTTCCCAAATAAGATACGATATTTGCAAAACTGCTAGATGCAGAAAGAGAAATTCAGACAAAAAGCAGTATTGTGGAAATTAATGAACAAAAAAGGAAGAAAACTAAATATGTAGGAACAATACAAACACAATGCTTCAGTGTCCTGAAATAAAAGAACCCACAGCAACGGCCGGGGTAATACAACTTCTCAGCAGAGCAGAAAACTTCTGAACTCCAAACACTGCATTCAAAGCCCTTTCGCAGCTCCACCCAGAAAGGAGCTCTCGGCCATACTGCCCTCCAAAAACCTAACTGTAACTTCAGGAAGAGGGTTTATGGCATAAGAGCACACAATGTTATGGCCCAGACAAAAAAGGAGCCAGGACTGAAACTGTCTGAAAGCCCTCCTCTTCCTTTGGCAGCCCCTGTGCAACAACACACACACTGGAGGGTCTGCACCTTTGCTCTCTCCAAAACCAAATCTAAACCAGGCTGTCATCACAAGCCTAGGCAGACAATGTGCTGACGAAAAGGACCCAAGCAATGGCCTACAAAAACTGATGCAAGGACTAAAAGCTGTTGACAGCCTTCACCTTTCTTTAGGAGCCCTTTCCCAGCCCCAGTTATTACACTAGAGCTCTTGGTCTCATTTGAATCTGAACAAAACGCTGAATCTATTCCTCACCGTAAGTCGAGGACCAGAAAGACACCATGAAAATAAGTACCAGCTCCTTGACGGACCCACAGGAAAATGTTCGCTGGACTGCAACCTTCCGGAGGTCCTCACCACCCTGTGCAGCTGCACCATATGGCACCTATGCATTTCCTACCTTTCTAAACCCTAAACATAATCTTCACCCTAGAAATAACCATAACCCTAGACTATGCCAAGTTCAAATGTTAACTACCAGCTATTGGTCACACAAAAAGGGGTCAGGACTGAAAGCTTTTGTCAGCCTTCACTTCCTCTTGGCAGCCCCCTTGCAACCCCACTCATGCTGGAGCTCTGTGCTTTCTCTCTCTCCTAATCCTAACCCTCCACAGCTCCTGTTAAAATAGAGCTCTGGCTTTTTTCTTCCTTCCAAGTCTAACGCTAACTGTAGGCTAAAGCTGAGTACCAAAAGGAAAACTTTATGTGGATCAGGGGACTGAAAATAATGGTCATGAGGAAGAGAGACCAATTCTTCCTTCTTCTATTTTGAAACCTGTATTACAACCGCCAAATTAAGAGCTGGGACCCTGTGGAAACACACTGTAAAGGGGCAGCTATGGGTCTTAATCTTCCTAGAGCTGCTTGACCTTCTTTCCTTGCATTTTTTTCCTTCTCATCCTCCTTTGAAAATGAAGCATCTAGGCAATGAAAGCCTTTACCAAATTCCTGGCCAAGTGCAGGAAATTGTTTTACCTCAAAGAAAAAACAATCTTGAAAAATCAATGTATTTGTATTAGAATTCACAACAAGCTTTCTTTTTAAATTCTTATATAGCTCTACTTTTAACTTTTTAAAATCCTGGTAATTAAAAGATAACAAAATACTCATACAATATACAACTGTAATTTTTTTTCTTCAATCCTTTTGAGTCAATGGTAATTTTTATGCCCAAGAATCAACCCCCCATAATCTCCTGGGAATATCAAAGCAGTAAATACTTTTAACACGAAAGCAATATAAATTTCTACCTACCCTCACAATGATCTTTTCAGAGACACCCGCAGACAGTAGGTAGAATTGGTCCTGAGAGACAGCATACAGTCCAACTACCAGCATGAAGTATCTAATTTGAAATCAATTTAATCAAGACAATAATTGAAGTAATGTCTTTTCACAGAAAAAAAATTAAATGTTTTTAATACAACTGCTATTATTGATACATAAAAAGATAGCCAGAATGGATTTTTAAAAAACATTTGTTACAATATCAAAGAAAAAATATTGCCTTCAGTCTCAAGTAATAAGGTCTTTCAATCCCCACAATCACTGAAAATGAGCAAAGATTACAGTAATTTTGAAAAATTTAAGTAAAGAAGACTCAAAGATGAAGACCCTTCCTTCCTCAGAAGAAAATTATCATTATTTGGATTTTTGGCTTCCTGATTTCATCAGCCATCCTTCTTTTCCTGAAAAAATCTCTAACCATGAGAATGAAGTATTTTCTACTATTCTCATATCAATCTGTGACTCTAGAAGAGAGGCCTTTAAGCAGATGCCAAGTTATCACAGAATTTGACAAAAAATCACAGATTTGGCAATGCTGAGATTTTTCACAAACATCAGCTCCATTCTAAAGTAGACCTTCTCTTTTCCACTTCACACACACAGGCCAGATAGCTACAGCAATACCTCTGGTCAGGATTAGGTTTCCCCTTTTTTCTCATGTTATTTGCTGTTGTTTCACTGAAATGCAACCTTCCCAGTGTTACTTTAGTTACCTGGTCCCCTGGCAGATCAACTCTAAAATAGAAAAGGAAACAAGATCAGGGAAATAAGCATTTGGAGATCTACCTGGCTCAAGCCAGATTTCTTCAAACTCATTAAAACAGTTCTGAGAAAAACTGACAAAAAAAACCGGAACCCCTCTAAAAAATGCAGTAACCCTCCTTTATAAAAATGCATTAAAAACACAATTACTATGTCAAGGAGATAAACAGGATAAAGCACCAGCAGTAGGAAACTGTTCTTAGTAATAGGAGTCTTGTGTTTCTTGGTCTGTTTGTACAGTCCTGAACAGAATAAAACCCCATGTGTTACATATGATGGGTATTTGTTGCTTGCCAAGCTTAACATTGCTTATGACTGGATCTAAATCTCCACACTAAAAGAAATACATTTTACTGCTTCTCCTTTTTTTTCACCTGCACTGAATTTGTATGTCTGCAAGTATAAAATATACACCTGAATCTCAAATACATAGTGGCACTGCTCCTGTAAGTGATAAATAATATGAATAAAGAGTTTGCATGGCGAAAACAGTCCACCCAACAGCCATCCATGAAACAGTTTACACACACCCAAAATCTATTGTCAGTATGCAAAAGGAAGAAAAATGCCATGACAGAGGTAATTTAGTAAAAAATGACCTCTCCTCCCAAACTCAAAGTTCATTTTTGCAGATTATATATTGCAGCCTTTATCCCAGCACTGTCCTCTCAAACTTGACACTGTCCTATCTTTTTTCTGGTTTAAGGTTTAATTATTTATGGAAAACAGAACAGTTCCAACAGAAGACACATACCAGAAGAACAAATTCTCATTCTGCCAATGAGTTAAGATGCAGAAGAATGGCAGAGGGTTCCAGGGAGAAGCTGCACATATGTTTCTAGCTCAGGCACTCCCCCTTAAAAGCACTGCAAATACATCTTGTGCCCATGTAAAACAGGAACATTACTTATGTTTTTTAAGGTGGGACCATGCAGCTCCAAACACCACACAACAGTGTTGCTAGCTGAATATAAATATTCTGGGTAGGCATAACACATTTGTAAAGCTGCTGAAAATTTCCTTCATGAAGAGTTACCAGGTCTATATTACTACTGTGATTCTATGTGCGCACCACAACTGCTTCACATTTCAGACCAATCACCTACTGAAATAAAATGGAATAATTTTCTCAAAATTCTTACTTAACGGGTTGGAAAGTTTTTTTGCTTCGATCTGACTGAGACTGTTCAATAGCAATTGTTTGATTTGGAGCTTCCACCTATAAAGAAAAAAAGAATTTTCAAAATTACAAGAATATTAAATTTTCAAACACACAACATTTGAAATAGAAATTAATAGGCAAATTGTGTCTGAAACTGTGAAATCTCTCTCATTCATCATGGAACTACATAGAACTTACACAGGAATTAACTCCTGATTAATTGACACCTAACAGGTAGTCTGAAGACCCAAATCTTTCTGTGGATGTAATTTTAAAGAAAAAAAAAAAAAAAAAAAAAAAAAAAAAAAAAAAAAAAAAGTAAAGAAAGAAAAAAAAAGAAAAGTCACGGAATTACTTCCAAAGAAAAAATTGCCTTCTTAATTTAGGCTGTTATTGGTTCATTCTATCCCAAATCATAAATGTAAATATTTAACAAGAGAACTGAACCCATGCAAGGTAGTTCCATAAGTTATTTTAATGTAAATTTCCGTGCCTTTCTAGATTGGTACCAAGCAGCACTTTGCTTCAGATAGGGAACAGATGACTGTAATATTCACCGATTTCTTCTGCAGCAGAATACATTAAGCAAAACTGGTAGCAACTGCCTTGTAAAGCAGCTACATGGATTTTTTTAAATCACAGAATTTTGGTGGTAAGTCAAATACCTGGTAAAATCTTTCAGAAAGATTAAAATTTCTTAGTACTTCTGTATACGCAAGCTTGTGGACCCATATTGACTGGCAAGAATTTGGTCATTAAAACAAAAAAGGAAAGCCTGGCAAGAAGAAATGGGGAAATTTTTTTTGGTTTTCTACACATGAAGTGCTCAGGAAAAACAAATTTTATTCTTTTTCTTTGCTTTGTGAATTGATTTTTTCAACACATCTTTTTGACCAATGGGTAGACTGGCCACATACACACCAGCTGACATCCCTACACTGCCCACAAAGGGAATAAAACTTCAGCCAAAAAGAAAGAAGTCAGTGAAACCATGACAAACAGGCAAACATGTCGTCTTTCAGCATATACCAGCACAAGCAATCATAAAACATCATATTTGTTGCAATACAGTTCCACACAGAAGTTACTAGCAACTTAAAGGAGTTCTCTTTTGTCTGTTCGTGGTCAGAAATTACTAAGAAAAACGTTAATTTCACCCATTTACTTCATTCTATGGATAATCACATACTAACTAATTAAAAGTAATAGTCACAAAGAAGAGAAATACTTGCCTTTATTCCAAAAGCTTTCAAGTAAAACTTTTCTATTGGTTTCCCCCCTAGCTGAGTTTTGACATATTTTGGATGTCCAGTGATTCTAATATGGACCGTGATTTGGAAATGATTCTTCTTCTGACACACAAAAGCATCATCTGTTACTGAAAAATTAAATCCTTTATCTGTGACAATGTGATATCCTATAGCGGGTCTACAAAAACAAGAAGAAAGAATAGCAAATTTAAGTCCAGGCGTATTTGAGTGACATCTCGAGTTCCTATTTTTTACATGGTTTGAAAATCTATCTGATTCTTACTGACAGAATGGGAGCTGAAATACCTCTTTACCAGTTCTACCAGTATTTTCTTCTTCGCTTCTTAGAGGTATAACAATGAAAAGGCATATAAAATGTACTCTTATTCCAGTCTGACACATGAAATGTTTGGAAGCCAGAGGTGGAAAAGCTTACATAATCCTCACTTACAAGTCTGCTATAAAGGAACTCTGTGCACCTACAAGCACAACCAAACCCTTTAGTGTATTCAAGCATTCATTATAACATTGCTATAAAAAAATAGAGGTGAATGAGCACTGCAGACCACAACATGCTAATGAGCCAGCAAGACTCCCTAGTTTGCTCCTGAATTCACATACCAAGTGCTTCTGCAGAAGCTGCTGGGATTCAAAAAAGGCTTTAGTCGAGCTAGGAGAAAAGTTATTGATACTGACCCTCTGGCCAGATGACTATAAAACTCTCCTTCATAATGTTGTCCATCCTACCCTGACTAACGAAACCCTCTTTTATTTGTTCAAAAGGCTAATTTGTCACACAAAGAGTATTCTGTCCTCATGATTCACAGTAAAGAAAGAAAGGTATCAAAATATCTTTCTAAAAGAGCCAGTGAACTCACCATCTCAGCAATGCTTCCAGTCCTCTGATTTAAATCATGGAAAATTCTGAAATAACAGTACTACATGGCAAGGTTCTCTTATATGGGCATATGAAAGTTTGATAATGATGTTCTCATCTGATGCTACTGAGAACCTCTCATTACCACAATTACTGAAGATGGCTTTTCAGAACTTCAGTGTAACATACAGACTTTATTATATTTTTATAAATTATGAACAAAAGATCCCTTTCAAACAGTCATTGATTATCTGGGACAAGGAAAAAAGAGAAAACCACTTTATAACTACTTCAAAACTACTAAGTCATATGTTAATTCATATTTAAAATTATAATGAAGTGTCTACCATCTCCTCAAACCATCGTTATTAAAGAAGCAAAACTTCTTCAGTTTCTTCCTACCTCTGGCAATTCTTTTATTTATTTAGGAGATGGGTGTATTTCATAGTAGGG